CTGCCAGCCGGGGCACTGCGCTTGCTGCACGCGCCCTCCGCTGCCTAGTGCCCAGAACTGCCCCTAGCAACAGATGCTCAAACTTCTCCGGCAATGCACTCGCGTAGAAACCACCCGGGGCCGGGCCGAAGTGCCCATCGGTCCCTCCCCACCTGCGAGGCTTTCTTCCCGCGGCTGACTGCCCCTGGGCGTGAGCAGCGCAGCTCGGGCTCTTTCCTCACCTCTACGCCTGCCTTTGGAGTTCGCGGCGCCGGGGCACTTGGCTCAAAGCGGGTTTGTGGCACGATGTAGAAAATAAGGACAAGGAGTGAACAAAATGCAAAAGTTACACGGGCCTCAGAAGTTAGCCTCGCTGACCTTGGAAACATTCCCAGCCAGCACATTTAGGTGCATTAATTGGACGGGGCTCATACGAGACACGAAATGCTAACCCCGCGGAGTTGTCTCTTAACCGTCTATTTGGCAGCTGTTCTATGAAGCAGAGAAGTTAACATTTTTACATACATAAATCAAGAGACGGATATTTATTTTCACACATATTAAACACTCTTCTTACCTTTCTCAAAGCTGCTTAACCTGACTGCTTTGACTTTTCCTTCCTTCTTTTCCTGCGGTGGGTATGCCGAAAAATATTTTTAAGCAAACTTCAGCATCATCCGTTTCAAATTGGGGGTGATTCTCTTATAGAAATGTAACATGTCCGAGCAAAAGGGATGTCTTTCCTGTTAGCATACGTCGTAAATCTGCGCTAACCAGCGTGAAACCGGACCGCACTCTTTGACCTGATTACATTCCAGAGATATTGGGTCGATAGTGATTTACAGGACGATCTATAGTTCAATTGGTGTTCAATTAGCTAGGGGTAGATTTAAGAAGATCTGAACTTTAGAATAATTCTTTTATTAGAGCTGAGTCAGAGCGGCCCATAGCAAAGAAACGTGAGGTGCAATCAATCTGATTTATTAAAAGCTGTTTGGACACTCTGCAACCTGATGCTCTTTTTGGACAGTTCATTTTCTGTCTTACATGTGAAAAATTAACTGCTGGGCTCAGTTAAAGTTGCAGTCTCACGTTCAATAGAAAGTTGAGTTCACTCAGGAAACCCACCCTTGCAATTAAGAACTTAAGAAGTTCTGAAACAATTAATTAAAAAATGTGTAACGAGTGCATCAGAAGTATTGAAGTCCTGTATGCAAACAGGTATGCCTTCATAGTAGCGGGGTGGGTTATTGTGTCTAGATTGCACGACATTTGCCATCTCTCTGTTGTGCTTTTTTAATGCTTCTGTTGCTGTAGTTATATATGATGCTGACAGAGATGATTAGCCACAACTTCTTAAGCATTCGGAGCAGTGATAGCCCTGGAACACGGACAGACTGGCTTACATCACGTTACCTTGCACTGTCCTGCCCCGGCTTTGATAGAATTAAGAAAAGAAAAGAAAAGAAAAGAAAAGAAAAGAAAAGAAAAGAAAACTCTGTAAAATCTGAGTGAGTGGCGTGGGGGTACCTTGGCCAGCACTCCTCACTTTGCTAAAGACTTTCTTCTAGTTCGGTTTTTTTAAAGTTACTTTATCTTGCAATACCCCTTCCCCCAAATGACTACATAGCTGGGCACGGTGTCTCCTGGCATTTCCGTATCCATAACTGCGGCGCAGCGTTTGCTGTGCAGTCCCATCCCCTAGACTAGCTTTGCGGCTCTTTAGGTAACTGGTCTGCCAAAGCACCGGCAGGACCTGGAGTGGGGGACAAGATTCAGAAGTAGATCGATCAAGTGCTGCTGTTGGCGGCGGCTGCTGCTTGCAGATGGCTCTTTCCATGGAAGCACCGATCAGGTGATAAAGTCTCCTTCCCTGCAGCATTGGGTGAGGGGAGAAGGGATCCAGTTTCTCCTCCTCTCCCCCCTCCCTCTTTTTTTTCCTCCCCAAGTTCTCGGTTCACTATCCCCCCTTCAATCCGAAGTAGCCTCCCGATTGGGCGCTTGGCCTGGCCCACGTCATTCAGACTGTGACGTGTAGTCTTCCTGTTTCCTTCAGCTGTGTCTTAAAGTAAATCTTGTTGTGGTGCGGAGCCCTCAGCTGAGCGAGGCTGCCCCGCTGCCTGCAGAAATAATAGGCACTAGCAGCCAGGGAGCGGAGCGCGGCGCAAACCAGCTCTTCCCTCCCCCTCCTCTCTGTCTCTCTCACACTCTGGCTCTCTCCCCTACACATTCGCTCATTCTCTTCCTCACACACTCACCCTCCCTTGTCCAATTACAATATTCATCAGGAGCCCTCAGCTGAGCGAGGCTGCCCCGCTGCCTGCAGAAATAATAGGCACTAGCAGCCAGGGAGCGGAGCGCGGCGCAAACCAGCTCTTCCCTCCCCCTCCTCTCTGTCTCTCTCACACTCTGGCTCTCTCCCCTACACATTCGCTCATTCTCTTCCTCACACACTCACCCTCCCTTGTCCAATTACAATATTCATCATCCCCGGCGCTCCCGCGCGCGCACACACACACACACACACACACACACACACGCACAAAGACTCTTCCGTCGCTTTTGCACCGAGTAAGTATTTCTCTCCCCTCCTTCCCCCTTTAAAAGCGTCTCCTCCGGCACTTGCACGGGCTGTTTGAATGAGACCATATAATCCCCAGCGAAATACTGATCACCGGTGTCAACTGTGTGCTTATTTTTCCAGGGGGGGATGGCACTGACTTTGTTAAATGAATACTAACCCGTAATCAAATTACCAAAGCAGTAGCAATGTGTTACCCCGAAGCTTCAATGGAACCATCACTCTAGCCTGCCCGGTCCTGCGGAGTAAGTGACCTGGCTGGATGGGGGGGGGGGGGGGGGGGGGGCATTTCGGCCACCTTTTGTTGGCTCCTGGCATTTTATTTGCGGTGCGGTTGGAGGGCACGTTGCTGGGGATGGAAATGCGAGGAGTCTTTTACTTCTTTTTGTTGTACCGAGCTTCCCCTTCTTCCCCCTTCCCTTCCCCCCTTTATAAACTCCGAGGTTGCTCCTGTGAGCCTCCTCTTTGTCTTGTTTATTATAGCTGCCTTTCTTTCGCTCCCTTCTCATTTGCCTGTCATTTGCATGTACCCACTTCTTCTTTTTAACCCTAGCCGGGCTTTTCCAGGATGAATCCCTTTCATTTCCACGGGGGAACGAACTGAGAATTGTGGAAATGTACAGCAAATGTGGTCGAGTGAGCGCCTGAAAATAGGTCCTGGGCAAGTTTAGGGAGAAGGTTATTCTTGATCCGCAGGGGCACTGAGGAGGTGGGCATTTTTCTTTGAAAGGGACATTTTGTTCACGTTGGTGAAGCCTTTTTTGTTGTTGTTAATCTGATGACAGACCAACCCCTACTTTGCTATGTGTGTAAATGGAGTGGAAAGGCTGTTTTCTGAATGGGGTGGTACTAGCCGATGTGGCAGGGGGAAGGGAGAGGTGTGCTTTACATTGAGCTAAGTCTCCAAAGGGGGGAACGTTGGTAGAGTACTCTTGTCATGCAAAGCCTGGTTTGCGCTGCAGGTTTAAGGTCTTGGCGTGTGATAGATACAGTTTGTGCACCAAGTCCGTGTGGAAAGCGCTGTCTCCCTAAGAAGCTGGAATCCAGGGACTTCTTCCTGGACCGGCTCTTTGTAAGTTAAGGGAAAGTTTTAGAGTCTGTAGGGAGAGCGCAGGCTGGCCTCGAGGGGAGTACCAGGCAGAATTGCGCGGCGGAGGGGGATGTGTGGGGGGGCTGGAAATCTTGGCAAAGGGCGCAGAAAGGGAGGTTGCAAAGTAGCCGTCGAGCACAAGTTTGCTCGAGAGCTCTGACTGGGAAGCTGTTCTGGCAGCTCCGAGGGGCTCTCACAAGGAGTCCTTCGCCCCATTCTCTCTCTTCCCCCCCCCCCCCAGTTAATGAAAGGTACCGAGAGCCGCCGCGAAATGCGCATGGGCAGTGCCAGACAGGTGTGTTGTGTCAAGAAAGACAGGTGCAAGTTTCTCTGGCTCTCGCTGCAGAGCCTCAGCCCCGCGTCTGTGCCGGCGAGCTTTATGAATTTATGGTTTATTGTTAGCCAGGACTGTCTGCTTTGGTGGCTAGGACCTGTGCGGTGGTTTTATCTTTGGTTTAAACCTTGCCCTGGGAACTCTTTAGGGCTCTGGAGAGTATTAATGAACAGCACAGAGCAGGTTGTTTCAAGTCTGTTTCAAAAGAGACCCGGAACACATCGAAGTGGTTATTTTTGAAAGTCTTACTTCATGCATCTCCTCAAACTTTCTTCTCTAAGGTACAGAAATCACACCTTAGACCAGAATTAATCTGAGTTCTACATGCTGCACATACCTTCTCCATTTCAAGAAAGAATATGTAGGGATGCTCAGATTGTATCTCAGGGAAGCAGGATTGGTCAGTCATATAAACTGTACATGGTAGTGGTCAATGTTTGCAGGCTAGAGAATCATTTGAACATTGAATAAAAGTTGGGGAACTATACTTAAGTTTGGCACAGATTCTAAATGCGTACAATGGTCATTTCAAATTTCTTGCTATGACTAGTGTATCTCCAGTGTAGTAGATTTATGTACAGTATGTGAATATGCATGTGTACTTTCCCACAACACTGTACACACACACACATTCACTACCTTACAAGAGAAGAGCTAATATTGCCTAATAGAGTATCAGAGGGTTTTAGAAATGCAGCTATTTATTTTTTAGATGTAAAAACTTAAAGAGTGTTTGTTATTTCTGTCACCTTGACAGGTCTGACAGTATGTAAAATTATTTACACTAAGGTAGATTTGTTACATATAAATTTGCATATATCACATGTGCATTAGGTCTTATGCTTGGAGTGGTTTTTTTTTTTATAATCTGTCACCAAGCATATAAAGTTTATTTCCATGGCAGCCCATTTCAGTCATTATTTCATCTGCTTCCCCGGCCCCCTTGACTTACCTCCTCAGAGCTAAAATATTTATAATTACTCAAGTATAGGCACTTGAATGCTAAAAGGTTAGAGTAGAAATAAAAGGAAAAGTACAATGTATATACTTTTGCTTTGCTACCCAGTTCCTTATTAAATTATGGAGAAAATCATATAACGTTCTATAAGTGACGCTCTCTGTATATAACTTACTTTTCTACAGGTCAAAAGCTAAGGAGGCCTTTTAATGTAAATTATGATATTTTATTGATCGGTGAGCAAATGAAATAATCAGACATATCAGATTTTAAATGGGAGCCTTATCTGTGTTTAATTGCAGAATTAAATATTATTATCATTTATATTCCTCAGATCAGGATTTCTTCTATCCCTAAGTATACTGTGTTGACTGTTTGATTCACACATTCTGATTTAATGGCATAAGGTAATTTGGAAAAGATATCGAGACTAGCCTGAGTTGTGTTTGCAGGAAGAATCTTGTGAATCTCACAGTTTTGTACATGCATAGATTCCACATGGACTTTTATTTTCTTCATAAGCAGTTAAACAACAATTATTAAACTGGTTTGTAAAGAGAACAATACTGACATTTTGATGTCATGGGTAGGCTTGTTATCTCTTTCTCACTTGGCAACCCTTTTTTTCTAAACAATGCAACCTGCAGATATACAACCCCGGGGTTTATTTCTCCTCAAAACAGTGAAGGCCTGAACCAGTGAGATGCTGAGTACTGTCTGAGACACGGCGAGTAACCTCAATTCCCAAGACAGTTAGGGGGAGTTGAGGATGCTCAGTGTTTCACAGGAGTTGCTGTGGATGGGCTGAATTGGGCCCTACATGCCCATGATCTGAAAGGAGGAATGTATTTCTGTTTTTAAGATAAAGACTAGCGCATGTAGCATCAAAGGTAATTAGTTGCTTATTTATTTATGTTTACCTTTTGGAGCTATTAGTGCATCCAGAGTCGTTAATTATTCGTATTTTATTTCAAATTCCTGCATAACAGCATCTCAGCGAACGGAGACAGGATGATCTCTCTGTCAAGAATTCTATTTGAAAATGTCCATGAAAACTGTTCTGAAAACTAGTAAAACACCACGATTGCCAAGGAACAATTATTAATTTTACAGAAAAGAATTTGTCACTGATTACTTCTCAATAGTTCAGCATAGATTTTTTTTAATACCAAAACTGATTAATAAGTGAAATGCGTGCTTCAGATTTAACTATCTTTTTGTGTGTGGGATACAACTGTCTGAAATCACTTTCATCTAACGTGCTCAGCTAAAATCATGGCCTGAATAACTCTTTCATTTCAAAGTTTTGCATGTCCCTATTTTCAAGAGCATATTACATTTCTTTAGTTGCATTACAATAATAAGAAGAATACAAACTTGCAGACACCTGAGCAAAGATGATGAAAAGACAAAATGAATAATGTTCAACTTTGCAGGATGGTATTCCCTCGAATTCCTAAATGAATATTCTTCATATTCAGCACTTTGGTATTTACGTGTCCGTATAGATTCCTTCAGAGCTATTTAGCTTTGAAGAAGCTTGTCATACTTACTAAACTTTGTAAAGAAGTTTTCTTGGATTAAACTAGAATAGGTATCTAGTATCTATTCTAAAATCTCTAGAATATGTATCATATCTATCAATTGTCAAACAAGATAACGACAGCAAGGCATCTGACATCATACCTCATCTACAGACATCTGTATTAATAGATTTTTAGGACAATGAATCCTTAAGATGCCTGGAAAGCAAGCTATTTGCAAATTTATGTGATGTTGATATGTACCTAATCATGTAAACAGATATTGACTACATGTCTTGTGGATGTTACATTACTCAGAAGTCAGCCATTATTACAGATCTAGTCTTAAATGTCTTGTAATGAGATTTTTTTAAAGTTAGGTAGAATAATGTAGGATAGTTTATTAGATGGGTTCAGAAAGGAGCTGAGCACTTTATTTCGCATTGAAGTTCATGGGAACTGAGAATGTTCACTATCTTGCAGGAGGCATTCAGCATCTGACAGGATCAGGCCCCCATATGAAATTACCTATGAACTTGTGTTGATGTAATGACAAATATACTTAGCAGAGAGGAAATGTCAAAAGTGACCCACAATAGAAAGTAAACTTTAACAATTTTAAGGAATTGAAGAATTGCCTTTCTTTGTAAAAAATTACATAATTTTCTAAATGTAAGTTTCTGAATGGATGTACACAGACACAGCTATGTACCACATTTAGGAAATACAGTGCTGATGAAATATGCAGGCATAGTAGGAAGATTTTTTTCCCATTATCAAAGTCCTCTTATAACATTGGTGTCATATTCAATGAATACATTCTTGCTGAATTTAATTTTGCATTCTGCTGTCCATTGGGTTCTATTTTCCTTTGGACATGAACTCATTTTGGCTCCATTAAGCCAAAATATTGAGTCAATATCATTCAATGGATAAAGTAGAAGTACTGTACATTGCTTAGACAACAAGTAACACCCTCAACCACCACTAAGAAAGGGAGAGAAAAAGGTGCGTCACCCCAGAGCACCTCCTAAACATTAATGGAAAACTGATTTCCCTCCTGGAGGTAGAAGTGCGCTGCGAAGCAGTTGTTAATGCCTGGTTTGTGGGAGAGGAAAATGGAATCTCAGAAGGAAGGATGCGTAGCGGTGACCCTATGACCTGTTTTGGCCCATCTATTTCCTGAGTCACTACCTCAAGGATACAGCAGGCCCTCTTTGCGTACGTTCTTGGTTGGGATTGGGTAAGAGAGTCGGAAGCTCTGTTCAGATGCCTAGAATCCGCTAGGAAGTGCATAAAACATAAAACTTGACATTAGATTTTGATATGAGCCTGGGAACTTATTGCTGGATTTTAGTCAAGCATAATGTCACTATGCAGCGAAGGAAGGAAAAGCACATGATGCAGTTTATTTTTTTCTCTTAGTGACAATTATTTTGAAGCTAAAATGCCTGTAGAATATTTTATATACTGAGACAAAAGCCCTTAACATTTTCTTGCTGCTATTTCATGTACCTGTCACATTCATATCCTTTGAAGAGGAACGTGGACATTCTTTCTGTTTCTTATTGGGCCAATGTTCTCTTCTGGTGTAAATGAATGTCACCTGGTGACTTCAGTAGAGTTTATACCTGCAGAGAATTTAGCTTTTCATTTATGAAAATCACCTTTTAGCTCCAGTTACTAAGGAGGCCTGGGATGTTCCTCTCCTAGGTCTTGTTCCTATCCCCATTGCAGTTAAAGGGCATTTTGCCTTTAACTGTGATGGAAGCAGTGTCGTGTCCTTCAAAAATGCCCCTCCAGTTAGGTCTGCCATGATCACTTGCACCAAATAGTATCTTGTTATGTGAGTAATCCATTGATTCCAGTGGCATTACTTGCAGGAGAAGACCCTAAACAGCATGAGTAAGGGTGTCAGAACTGGGACTACAGTGAGTTGCCATATGACTTCTTTTTAATTCCATAACATAATTTAATTCATGCACTTGTCAACAATTTCTGAACAGTGCTGGCAACAATTATTAGGTCTAGATTTCCAGTCAGAAATCAGGGAATTTTTATTTTTTAATTTCACCTCCTAGATACAAGGAGTCAGTAAGATAAACAAGCATCATGTTCTTTTCGTAACAGTCATTGATGCAGAAGCTCTGAAAATTCTTTTAGCACATCCAAAATACATGGGCAAAGACCACAGAATGAACATTGCAATTTTTTAAATCTTTTTCCCCTCCCAATCTAAGCACTGGCTACTGTCTTGATTTTTACAGATTATTTCAAGCTGAAATGATGCCTATTTGCATGGATAGTCATTCTTTAAAACTAGCCACAGATGCAGTCCTATGGAGCACGTAGATGTTTTTACAGGTGAACCGAAAAAGATGGGAGCAATTCCAAAAAGTCTGCATGCTGCCTTTGGCAATATACCCTGTTATTGTGAAGATAGTGCACTGTTAAGCAAACGTGAAGTTTAATGTTAGATAAACATGGCATGAAAAATATTTTAATGTTATTTAGTATAGTGTTCAATTGGAAGAAACAGGAAGAAACAGTGCACTTTACATGCAATGTGCGTTTAGCATCACTAGTTAATAAGTCACAAATTATGTCAAAAACCTTTTATTAAAATGCAAAGAAGTGTTATCTTTTTATACTGTGTTCCTGAGAAACAATGAGAGTTCATCTAAAGAGAAGATATTTTCCTTTCTCATGCAATTGATTGATGTTATATTCTTTCATCTTTCCATATTTTTTCTCTTCTGTTTTTGCATGTCACAGGAAACTAGTTTTGTGTATCTAAAATCTTATATGTAAGAATGGGTTCATTGGGCATTTGAGATATTATTTCTGGAGCCTCTTCTAAAACAGAGATGTAGCTCTGAAAAATGCCTTGGTTTTGCTTATATAAACAATTTAATGCCCCCTATCATAGTGTATGAAATGTAAAAATTTCATGCTTTTACATTGAGATTTACTTTGAAAATACAAGTGATCAAAAAGGGCAGACTATTTGGAGAATTTAATATACAACAATGGCAACTCTGTGGCATGTGCTGCGTTACGTTAATGATATTTCCCATTTTTTGCTTTCTGCTTTTTAAAATGAATATACATGTATTTTACAAACCTTTCCCTTAAAAATCTTAGTGCATTTTGACTCATTAAATAAATGCTGCCATTATGATTTCAGAGAGTTTTTGCAACATTAAATATTGAACGTGTATATGTTTTCTATGCTTCTGTCATTCATGGATAGACCATCCTATGTGAAATTAAGTAAAAGTTATTTTGTTGTTATTTTGACCTTTGGTTGTTTGTTTATCAGTTCTTTTCTCTTAGCCTTAGAAAACACAATTACAGTCTTTACATTGCAATTGATATTTTTTAATCCAAATTTTATACAGCTTCTTGTTTTAACAATAAATCTTAAATAAGGACTACTTTCATCTTCTTTTGTAACATGTATCTCAATGCCCTAAATTTAATCAATTGGTTGTCCGAGGCTGTGTTCTTCTAATCTACTGTTTCTTCTGAAGATAAACAGTATCATTTTAGGCATTTGTGCAATAGAATCATATTACTGGTGCTTAAGCAGTTTTTGCTTTTTTAAATCTTAATCCATCTTAAACCAGTGAAGCAGAAATATTTAAAAATGTTTCATTTCAAGCAGAGTGCATAATAAATTGCAATAATTGTAATGTGCCATAAATCCCAGAGCCTATGCATTTTGCATTTTATTCAGGATTGAGGTCAGGAAATTTGGAGAAATTTAAAGAAAATGATTCATCAGTCCTTTTGTTCTGTTGGCCAGGGTCCCAGGATTCTTGAGCTGAGCCCAGCTGACAAGCTTTTGAAGATGGCACAATAACAGTCCAGTGATGCCTGACCATGACAGCACAGCCCTCTTAAGCAGGCAAACCAAGAGAAGAAGAGTTGATATTGGAGTGAAAAGGACGGTAGGGACGGCATCTGCATTTTTTGCAAAGGCAAGAGCAACATTTTTTAGTGCCATGAATCCCCAAGGTTCAGAGCAGGATGTTGAGTATTCAGTAGTACAGCATGCAGATGGGGAAAAGTCAAATGTGCTCCGCAAGCTGCTGAAGAGGGCAAACTCGTATGAAGATGCCATGATGCCTTTTCCAGGAGCAACCATAATTTCCCAGCTGTTGAAAAATAACATGAACAAAAATGGTGGCACAGAGCCCAGTTTCCAAGCCAGCGGTCTCTCTAGTACAGGCTCAGAAGTACATCAGGAGGATGTATGCAGCAACTCTTCAAGAGACAGCCCCCAAGAGTGTCTTTCCCCTTTTGGCAGGCCTGCTATGAGCCAGTTTGATATGGATCGGTTATGTGATGAGCACCTGAGAGCTAAGCGCGCCCGGGTGGAGAATATCATTCGGGGTATGAGCCATTCCCCAAGTGTGGCATTAAGGGGCAATGAAAATGAAAGAGAGATGGCTCCGCAGTCTGTAAGTCCCCGAGAAAGCTACAGAGAAAACAAACGCAAGCAAAAGCTGCCTCAACAGCAGCAACAGAGTTTCCAGCAGCTGGTTTCAGCTCGAAAAGAACAGAAGCGAGAGGAGCGCAGACAGCTGAAACAGCAGCTGGAGGACATGCAGAAACAGCTGCGCCAGCTGCAGGAAAAGTTCTACCAAATCTATGACAGCACTGATTCCGAAAATGATGAAGATGGTAACCTGTCTGAAGACAGCATGCGCTCAGAAATTCTGGATGCTAGAGCACGGGATTCTGTTGGCCGGTCAGATAATGAAATGTGTGAGTTAGACCCAGGGCAGTTCATTGATCGTGCAAGAGCCCTGATCAGGGAACAAGAAATAGCAGAAAATAAGCCTAAAAGAGAAGGTCCTAAAGAAAAAGAGCATGGGCCAAACTCTTTCCATCCAGAAGGCAAACATTTGGCTGAGACATTGAAACAGGAACTGAACACTGCCATGTCACAGGTTGTGGACACAGTGGTTAAAGTTTTCTCATCCAAGCCCTCCCGCCAGCTTCCTCAGGTCTTTCCACCTCTTCAAATCCCTCAAGCAAGATTTGCAGTGAATGGGGAAAACCACAACTTCCATACCACAAACCAACGCCTACAGTGCTTTGGTGATGTCATCATTCCAAATCCACTAGATACATTCAGCAACGTGCCAGTGCCTAATTCCACAGACCAAACAGAAGCACTGCCCCTCGTAGTTCGCAAAAACTCCTCTGACCAATCCGCATCTGCCCCACCGCCTGGCAGCCATCATGCCTCTCTGCATCAGTCTCCGCTCTCAGCTACCACGGGCTTCACCACATCTTCTTTTCGCCATCCCTTTCCGCTTCCCCTCATGGCATACCCATTTCAGAATCCTTTAGGTACTCCATCTGCCTCCTTTCCAGGGAAAGATAGAGCCTCCCCGGAATCCTTAGACCTAACTAGGGAGACCACGAGTCTGAGGACCAAGATGTCGTCGCACCATATGAATCACCATCCTTGTTCACCAGCACACCCTCCCAGCACAGCTGAAGGTCTCTCTTTGTCTCTCATAAAGTCTGAGTGTGGTGACCTACAAGATATGTCTGAAATCTCACCTTACTCGGGAAGTGCAATATCCTTTTCTAAAAATATATAATTAGTTGCAATACCAGGCCCAGTCTATGTAAGTTTGTTTTCCTCTTTTGTTAAGCAACTAAAGAAAAAAAATGCACTGCTTACCTAACGTAATGTCTCCCTAATGCAAGTATGCAATGCTTTTGTGCAGAGCATTTCTGGTAATAGGGCTTTCTATGATGGAACAGGTAAGGACTTGTGAGAATAGTGGTTAAATACAGTTATAGGTGAGGAACAGCACGACTTCAGCCATAGTGTTCTGCTGCTCTTTCCTGTATCACCTGCCAGACTGATTTTCAGGGAAAATTTTATGCAGATTCCTCCCTATTTCCCCATAAAACAGTGGCTTCAGTCATGACAGAAAAATAGAGAGGCTTACGGGCCCGGCTGTGTGGACTCTTTCCTCCCGTTGGTCAGCACTACCTCACACGGGTAGTCCCACTGCAGTCAACAGCAATGTTGGAGTGAGTAAGTGCTCACAAAGCTAAAGGCTCCACAACCGGGCCCTTTATTATGGGGGGGAAATGGGATGTTTCCTACAGCAGTGTCCCTCAGCTGAAAACACTTTTAACCTTTCAAATGAATTTTTTTCTCCCTTTAAGCTAAAGTAAGCCCGACCCATTTTAACAGTGTCATTGCCGACTCTCACAAAGAACAAACGGTTGGTTGGTGGTAAATCTTCAGTTCGGCTCTCAAGTGAGTAAACAAACAAAACACAAAAGATACAGGTACTGATGTATTCAAGCTGCATCAACTTCCTTCCCCCACCCAAAGGTCTGTTCCTCAGCCCTTGTGCAGCTGCCTGCTATGCATGATTAACCTCTGTTCAGCCGTACACAGAAATCTTTTGTCCGAACATACACAAAGCAAATTATTTTGGAAAGCTAGAGAGCACAGTTAGATATACAACTTCAGCTGTATGACATTTACAGGACATTTCCCCCTTTTTTTTGTGTAAACAACTTTTTAGCTTAAGAGCAGGCTTGTGTTTTGGAAAATGCAGTTCTGCTTATGCTTAAGCATATCTAGCTATTTCCACATTCATTTTCTGTAAACTAGTCCTTTGGGGAATTTTTTGGAGCAATTTCTTTCCCTCCCCCCAATATTTTCTCTCCCCCCAATATATATCTAGAAGATTTTTTTAAACAATTACATTTGGATAAAATGGGATATTTGCCCAATGCTACATAGAGGACTTCCAGTGAAAGGTACAATTATATTTTCCACCTATGGTAAGACTTTCCAGAAGGCAATCACACAAGGATTAAATCATAGATATAGTTAATTTCCTTTCTAAGTTGATGAAGTCTGTCATAACTGAATGACCATACCTATCCTTGAGTAATAATAGTTCTATTGATGAAGTAGCCTTTTTTCCAATAATAGCAGTGGAGGCAGATGCCAGGAACATGCTTGTGTCATCCATGAGTATTTTTTTGTGGTTAATAATTTTGACTATTAGATTAAATTGCAAACAGGTTTTTTTAAGAGTAAGGGTGCCTCAGCAAACTGATTGCAGGGACTCAAGGCCTGATTCTGCCAACTCTTATTCATATGAGTAGTCCTCCCTCATGTGAATTGTCCAATTTGACTTAAAGGAACTATTGATGCAAGTCAAGGAGTGTTGGTTCAGGCTTATGGATTTCACCTGGTTCAAATCCAGCCTGGGTTGGTGTTATCAAAAGCTTTTGCTGTCTAATTCTAAGATGGAGCAGGTAAGGCCTTGTGAGAAAAGTACTACTTCCTCATTTCACAAGGAGTAACGGTAGTTCGAACTAGAAAGCCGCGTGGCACGGGGTTCGAACGAGCGGGGATTTAAAAATGGCAGCGCCCCGCTTATGCAAATGAAGCCCGGGATTTGAATTTCCCGGGCTTCATTTGCCAGTGCGGTATGCCTACATTCCCCCGCTAGTTCGAACTAGCGGGGTAGTGTAGACATACCCTAACTATGTAATTGCAGACTAACCATGTGATAGCATATTACTTTGTTTTAAGTTAGGGTACATTTACACTGCACGCTAATTTTGAAATAAGCTATTCTGGATCGGTTATTCTGAAACAGCACATCTACACTTCAGGGAAACCTCAAAATTAGTCCGAGGCAGGCTTCCCTAATGTAGACATGCTATCACAATTTAGAGACTCGGGAGGAATAACTTAGAATGGGCCTGGTGAGGGGTTATTTCAAAATAGCAGCGGTGGAGCATCTACACACGCCTTATTTCAAAATAGCTATTTTGGAATAGGTGTTATTCCTCAGAATAAGGTTTACAGATTTTGGAATAAGCCATCCGTTATTTTGAAGTTATTTTGAAATGACAGAATGGCTGTGTAGATGATCTCATTGTTATTTTGAAATAACGCTAGTTATCTTGAAATAACAGTGCAATGTTGATGCACCCTAAGAGTAGCTTTCTTTTCTTCCTGGAAAGAAGAATGAAAATCTTTTACCTTTTCAAAGGGGGACTGAAAAGGAAAAACAATTGTGTGTATAAAATTATAATTTTATAAGTTAGTCTTTCGCTTGTCTGTAACTTTGTATGATCCACTCTAGTGCAACTCTGTAGTTTTGGAACTTTTGCTGTTTCTGTTGTTCTGTTGGTTTCTGACCTCCCCCCTTTCCTGCTATAGTGTTCCCCTCATTATATTCCTGTCTCTCATGGGCAGTCGTTATCACAGCATGTTACTGCTCATGGAGAAGGTATGCAGGCAGCCTCCTCTAGAGCCAGTACCATTCTGAAGGTTAGCCAGTGGGGAAACTGAATATTAATGCGGGTACCACTTTCCCTCCTCCCCACGCAGCTTATTTCCCTGACACTGTGGAGACATGCTGACTCTGCCAGTTAGTCACTATTGCAGCCTGGATACACATCTCTCTGAAAAGCTGCTAGATTCCTAAATGTCATCTATCCAGAAGTGCACACATTGGTGTATAATTCTATTTCTAGCCATGGCCTGTTTGTCCATGCAGCCTACTGTGTATTCTAGGTGAAGGCATATGGGAGAGAGGGTGGAGGTTGGTTTGTAGTAGACTTTGTTTGGGCTTCTTTACTTCACATGGTTCAATGTACATATATAAAGAATGTTTCTTAAGAGAGGCAGTTCTTCCTTCACAACAGAAAGCAACATCTGTTTCTCTGAACAATACAATCAGGATAAGAATATAAGACCAGACAAGTTCAGGTTTTAGTATTAGGCTGAAACCCTGTACCAGTCCCTCTTAGAGTGTGTTTTTTTAAACTTACATTTGTAAAATGCATCTGATCATTACCAGCCTTCTTGAATTGTGCAAGGAAATGGTTAATGTTTGTGTATTTTGCTAAACAAGATAAGATGCACCTGCACTGTGAGTTCATATCTTGGTCATGAATGTATTCTATATCTTTGCAAACTAATCTGTTTAATCAAATATTAAGTTTTATTCAAATTCTAAAAGAAACAGACAGCCAATTGTTTTTCTGCATGATCATCCTTGTCATGCAGCCTCTTTGCATCTCAAGAAAAATAGCCTTGTTCAGCCCCAAAACATTTGCATATATCAAATTGAAGCACAACAGTAGTTTCTGTGTGCTGTTAAGATGTTCAGCATTTTTCTTCACAGAAGGAAGTTAATGAAACTTTTTAAAAATCCTTAATTTTTAAATAGAATTCCAGTCCAACTGGGGCAACTTTCTCAGTCCAGTATGTGAAAGCTACAGTTAATGAATTACCATATTTTGAAATGAGGCGTTACTATGTCTGACTGGAATTAAATTAATTTTAAAAGGTGAGCAATTGTACAACAAGGTAGATAATTCTGTGTGGTTGATAAAACCAGGGAAATGTTCAGTCCAGCTTCTTCTTTCAAGGTTCTTGAAGACATGAAGAAGTATTCCTATGAGTTAGAGGTATGCTGAAAAAGACAACTATTGTGTAATTTAAGCAGCAATTTGTCAATACCTGAAGTGGCAGATTCCTGCTTCTATCTCCTCATCCAGTACCAATATGCTGTACAAAAGCCTAATAGAACGTTTTCAGGAATTTGAGGTAAAAGTGAGGTTATCATCACATAAAAGTATCTTAGTAGAAGAAGGTAGTTACTCAGCTGTATTAAACCTGTTTGCTTTTTGGCACAAATCAGGTACAAGAGTTTAAAAGTTAAAATAGGCTGACCTTGCATACATTTTCTTCTGCCCCTCCCCCTCTCACTTCCTCTGTCTTACATTTGCCTTTTGGCTGCTGCTGTTTTAGGTAAGGCTATATTGTACTTTGTAAATACACAACACTCAGACTCAGGTTGTTTGAACACTGCTTTAGGTTCAGCTGCAGTACACTGTTTCTCTGATCTTTTATGTTCCTGAGCAGATGTCTTTCATTAATTTATGGATTTATCATTTTCTTTCTTTCTTCCTTTCTTTTTTTTACACCTGGCAGCTGGCTCAAGTTTCAGCAGTTATTGTCTATTTTGCATTACACATAGAATTGAATGTCATCTGTCTTCACAAAGCTATGGCTAAGAGAATTGAGGCAAGCCACATGAGCTGCTGGGACAGAGCTTGTTTGTGTTCCATTTGGTACACACACACACACACACACACACACACACACACACACACACACAACATGGTACACACACATACACACCCTTCCCTTTACCTCCTTAATATTTATTTGTGCTCATTTTCTTTCCTGGCCTTGAATGGGGCTTAGCTCGTGTTCAGTACAGCTGTATGTTTACTGAATCTATTCCATCATGAGTCATTGTGCGTGTGTAAGTATCCTGGAAACAGCTCGTGCTTTCTTGGAAGAACAGTTGCTTTTCAGCACAAGCACTTAAAAGGGAAATTAACCAATTGATAAGTTCAGTTTTACACTGAAATAGCAATGGGTTATCTAACAGTTGTCTCTTAAGTGCTTCATTAACTATGGTAATAGTTTATTAGAAAACTATCTTTTATCACAAGATAGCCTTAATCTTAGGAACAGGACATAAAGATTTATAGTGTGCTAGATTTCACATTAAGAATCCCAAGTGCTTCACAGGAAAGCATAATTCTAATTTAAATTATGGACTTCTGGGGATTTGATTTTTAGAACATTTTAATACATTTTAATCAATATTAATATCCTCTAGTATTATTACAGAAAAATAAGGAAAAGTCATAAATGCAAAGTGAATTTATATACTTAAACAACTGTCTAATATTATATAATGAAATCCAGTGAATACTGAAGCTCAGGGAGAGTTTAAGATCGTATCTTAGCATCCATTGAAATGGACCAAATGCCAAACATGATATCAAGATGTTATCTGCTTCGGGGAATTATACATTAAGGAGATTTAGGATTTTTCTTTTACATATTGAAGCATTGGTTGGCTGGTCCTGGTCCCCCCATGGAATCATATAACAAAATGGATTTCTGCTGCAGAAGTTTCAACTTGTGTAAAACTCTTATCACTAAGCAATAGGTGACAGCTTGCTACTATTATTTCACTTATGCGTTTTGACAGATGGCACTGCCGAGTGTAATGCTCTTTTAGACTTCTCTATCAGTGTAATGGAGGTAACTGGAGGTTCTTTCAACTCTTCTCTTGGCACAAGAAGTATGTCACTCATAAATTATCTTCTTTGTAATCATTAAGCATCTAAAACAAAACACAAGTTCACTTGAGCTGTTTTCAGTGCACTTTTTGTAAAGGAAGAGGTTTTAAAATGTTTTTTCAGTGGCTATTTATAAAAAAATTAATATTTTTTCAGTCTGAAAATGAGGCTTCTCTTTCTACAATGGTGTCTGCATGTATGCATAGCACATGAATAAATAACTCTATTTCGACTCAAGTCAGTAGATTGAGAAAAGATACTCTGTTAACAGAACAAGCCTAAATAATTTGCTAGTATCGGCATATGTTTCTTTGAACTTCCCATGTTGAGAGCTGGAGTTATTCATTTGGTTCTCCTGCAATACAGGCACTGTAAGGTGGAGGCACCTCCACTGTAGAATAGCTATGAACTTGTTTGACCTTTCTCCACCAGAAGGAGTGAAATAGCAAAATTTTCGTTGACTGTCTTTAGGAAAAAACAGTCCTCAGAAAAGCTGCTGGGAAGAACCCTCAATTGACCTTGTGGGGGCCACATTGATTTTCTCCACGTGCATCTTCATTTCTGATAAATTATAAAGCCATTAATTTGCTGAGGAAATGGCAGGGCCAGCCTGCGGCACAGATGTGACCAAAGCCGTCCTAGCACACAGCACACAAAAGAGTGCCAAGAAGCTGGGGGGGAAATCAGAAAGCCTAGATTGTTATGGTTAGCTTCACATTCCCTTGGGAACTGTTTTAGTTGCTTCTGTTTACAGATCTAAAAGGTAATGATGTTTCCAGGATAAATAGGCCTCCTTATAGGGTAAATGGCCATTTATTGATCTGCTAACCCACACTTATTGATTAGTTAGCCCCAAATACAGTTTCATTCTCCGAGGAGTTAACTGTGTAAATCAGAAGAACCAGACAATTTTTTTTTGAACTAGAGACGGGTTGTTTGTTTGTTTGTTTGTTTAAAGAAATTTAGCTTTCATTGAAGATCAGTAATTGAGGCAAAGGAATAATAGGATTAGAGAGAGTAACTTGAGATACTGAATTATATTGACATTAAAGAAATAAGGTAAAATATGTTACTTGCATGAAACATTGCTCTGTATCTAAAAGCACCCCTGATTGATTCATGTGCATGATATAAACTGTTCAATACTGGAGGAAAATAAAAAAAACTGAATTGGAATTACAAAAGAAAGAAAAATCTCACACTAAGTTTTTTTTTGTTTTGTTTTGTTTTGTTTTTTGGTTTTTTTTGTAGCACATGCTTGATGCATTTGTTTCCTTAGCAACAAGTGAACATACATATAGTACACAAATCTTAAACCTGAAAAAATCCTACTACCAACACCAAGAACGAACTGAGAGACAATATATGTTATGTATCCTCATATCTCAGGTAGCTGTTTTGCAGATAATTACAGTTCTAAAAAGCTGCAGAATGAATGTTAACAGTTTGTCACTCGGTCCTTACAGAACATTTCTTGAAGGCGCACTGTGCTAGCCCTGCATATTCAGAACCAGCTTTTATTCTCAAGCAAAGCATTTTCCTTGACTAATTCAATCCTACATGCAGGAAGGTCTGTCACCCAATCACTTGAAAAAGGCCAAGCTCATGTTCTTTTACACCCGGTACCCAAGTTCCAATATGCTGAAAACCTACTTCTCAGATGTAAAGGTAGGAAAAAATCAACTTTTCCCCCCATCCTTATTGCATGTTTGCATTTTTGCAGTGAAAATGTATCAGTTTAACACATTAAAAGTAAATGACTATTAATTCTAATTTCACTACCAAGAGATTACAGCTGATTATTATTCACTTGACTTTTTTTCTACTAAGGTGTGCTGGAGACTCATGTCTGGAGGGAAGGAGGTTGCATTTTGGCTTTTGTTTTTAATCAAAGGAGAGTCTGAAATGTCAAAGCAAAATACGAATCTTTAATACAGCTGGATGACACACTTTTACATGTGTGTATCCTCTAAAAAAGAAATTTCTGCTAGTGGGATCAATGGACTTCCAAGAACATTTTTGGAGCAGTTTTCGAGTGCTCCCTAATTGTTTCATTTTCATTGGTTTCCTCATATTTGTGCTTACATAAGCACACTGTAGAATCCCTTTCTTTCTGTCAAAAAGAAACAGTACATTGAAATTCTCCATGCAGCAACTGCTTAAAAACAAAAGTGATGATTGTCTCTTATTTACAACTTAATTTGTTGTTGATGCCGAGTACACTGAGCATAAGGAGGATGAATAAAGTGACAGATTCAGGCCACATTATTCAAATGAGGATATGAAAGCTGTCGACGTACAGCTGCATCCTCCCTCATTCTACAGAATATTAGGACCTCCTGATTTTTTCCCCCAAAAGTAATTGTGCCTTCACATCAACTTGATTTTGTGTTAATCATCTAAGTTTTTTTCATATAGATTGGGTTTTAATGATTATAATGGCACACATGGTGTTATTATCTAAGTAACTTTATAAACATTACATTAGCTTAAATTAGTTAA